GCCTAAGAATAGAGACTGGAATAAATGAATGTCTCTCTGTAGTTAGTTAGGAGGACACCTTTGAACCCTGAAAATATCAGAGTACTAGAGGGACACGAATGCAGTGATCGTGGAGGCAGATCCCACTGACAGTCTCCACTGCCAGTCAGAAAATGTTTACAGAGAAAGCACTGAATTAACATACAGTAGGTCACTCTGCAATGTGAAGAGCAAAACTGTGGTACCAAAGGTGAAATGCTTTCTCCAAGGAGGGATGGAGACAGGCAGTGCTAAAGAGCAGAGAGCCACCAGCAAAAGCTGGTAGTATTTCACCATGGAAGTAATCATGAAAAGAAAGAAAGAAGAAAAAGTGAGCATTTGAGGAATCTGGATGCAGCACTGGGAGGCTCAAAGTTATCAAGTAGCTTAGATTCACTTCTGGAAAAAATATCTATTTTCTACATACTTAGAGAGGTTATTCCTCAGCCTAATCAGAACATTGATGCCATTCAGCCACAACAAAAAAGAGAGGCCTTTCCTAAACTACATACATACAAAAAAGGACTGACTTAAATTTTAACGTCTTCTTTACTGAAGACAATATATAAGAAATTACTGTTAATCTAAAACTCTTTTAGTTCTAGAACCATGGCTGCACGTAGCAGAAATGCATCGTAGAGGTGACCACTGAAGCTACCAGTGTTTCATTCACTAGCCAAGGATGGGATCCTGCGGATCAGCTGGCCCTGCCAAGGCAGGCATGCTGTGTAAGGTGTCTTTCCAGGCTCTCCCTACAGGAAACGGCAGCACCTCCAGAGCGCATTCTTCACATCTATTAATGTCTTCTAATATACAGCCTTCTAACATCTATTATTAAGTGGAAAGAATTCCTCGGGGACATCTCTTTCTTCGTTTACAATAGAGGGAATCAAGTCTGAGCTGCGAGCAGATGCTGGCCTTTCATACTGTCAGCCCTGCGTGTGGTGGATGCTGTCCGTGAGATCTTCCATCCCTTGCCGGGGTGAAATGTGGGATGAGGCTGCACTAGGCCGTTCGTGGGGATCATGTCTGTGTCTGCATGAGTGTAAACAGCGTGTACATTAGCGTTCACAGTGGCACTCTTATTTTTCCTTTAGATCAACCCTGTTTACTCCACTGTGATTCACATCGTAGAGCAGTCTTAGGGTGTACAAAATGAGTATCTTTCTGATGAAGTTACATAGAAGAGACACTCCCAGACAAGACCTAAACCCACCACTCTGAGCTCGTGCAAAGTAGTCGTGTGTGTCCCCCCTGCCCACCTGCAGTGCGAACGTCAGGTCCCAGCCCCAGCTCTTTTGCTCTACAGAACCAACGCTATTCGGCGGCGCTGCCTGCCAACACGTACAAAGAGAAGGGATTCAGATCAGCTCTGGGTTTCCAACTTGCCTGTGAAAAATACACTAAGTACGATGGAGATTTTGAACCGACAGAGGAAAATCACAGAACTGTAGGCCATGGAATAAAGGTTATAATCAGCGCTGTTCTGGTTGAAGCTGGGTAAAATGAAGGGGCTGCTGCTCCCAAACGCTCTCAGCTTTCTTCTGCTGCTCCTGTGCCAAAGGTTGCCACCCCTTCAGTCAGCACAACTTAAAAAGGTATTTGTTCCCTCACTGTGGGGTTTTTTTTCATAATAGTTCAGGTTGATTTAAACAGTCTAATAGCAAGATCTGAATTGTGTTGCCACCCATCAACATAAAAATTCTTCAGTAAACAGTCTCACCCCTCAAACCCATATAAGAAGGATTAGCTTAAAAATACATAAGATCTTTTAAAACTGTATTTTTATTTACCTGCTGGGTTTTGTGCCTTGTGATTCAGGCTGGCAGGTTTCTGGACAACAGTGGTTCTAAGAAAATACCCATTTTCTCAAATTAAAGCTGAGATTTTCAGGTAATCACTGGCTCAGGCAGCTGAAGTTTAAGCAAGCCACTCAGTTTAGTGTGACTTCTCAGGCAAATCACAAAAATCACAAAACCCAAGAGTCTGGCCAACCTCCTGAAGTAAATCCGTGTGCCCCAGTCTGTTAAACCTGTCATCTGGGGAGCATCTCGTGGGAGTATTACCAAAATGTGAAGAAGAAGGTCTGTTTGGTACGTTCGGTTGGAATACTGGTGTTCCAGGCCAGTTTATGAGAGTGGACTGAGGCTGTTGAGTCCCAAGCCAAAGCCTAGGGCACTTCTTGTTGCGTGCCATAACTTTTTTGGACTGTTTGACTAATCATTGCAGTAGTCTTACTACTCTTGATTTTCTGAATGAGAACTGTACGACGTGGATCAAAGCTGGATGGTTCTTTAGGTATTAATATTTTACAAGACCATCTGGTTTTAATAGTTATTGAAAAAGGACAAAGGCATACTAGGAATTACTTTTGATATTTCTAACTTGTGCCAGTGTTGCATTTTTAAACATTTCAGCAAAACTGAGAGTGTAACAGGAATGGTGTTTATACAAAGACTCTTAAATTTCTGTTAAACAACTGTGCTGTGTCTTAAATGACAAGAAATTTTATCTAGCAGATGCCAAGGGCATGCTGAAGATTTTTCCAACAGCTCTGAAAATTTTTTTCTTAGAGATACAGTACAGACCATCATTTTATGAACAACCAGCTGTTTTAATACTCATTGCAATGAAGCGATTATTCTTCTAGAACCGTCGGCACAACTGGTTCTGCGTTGTAGAGCCAAACAGGACTGACTGCTGCTGGAATTAATGGGCCTTTCTCTGCCCGTATGCCATATACATCTGCAGCCTAATCACTAACCAAAAATTTCAACGCGACTGTGGGGAGACGGGGCTCACGGAAGTGATTCCTCGCAGGCCTGTATTGCTTTGTCTCCAACCCTTACACAGAAACTCGGATCACGAGCAGCTTGCACAAACACCAACAGGGGTTTCACACAGCCGGCCGGCATCTATCTCAGAGCCAGGATGAGAGTGCAGGGAGGGGCAGGCAGCCTGTCCCGCTCTCCCAGCCCACCTCACATGAACCAGCTCCATTAGCATCGGTTCCTATAGAGGAAGCTGAAGCACAGAAAGGTAACACAGCTGTCCTGAAAGCTGACAGTAATTTGGTGGGAGAGCTGTCAAGAGAACGCCCATGGACTCCCACTTCTGGGCCTTCAGCCACAGGAACGTGCTGCCTCCCAGTGCTGCCCAGATAAAGCAGGCATCCGTGGAGCTGTGTTTTTAGCCGTGATTCTCTCTTTGGCTGGAGCTGGGCCATGAAGATTCACAGTAAGCTAAGGACTCTAAATAACCATTAGACTGTGGGAGGAAAGCTGGCAAAATATCAAAGCAGAGCAAGCACTTTCTTAAATTTCACTTTTGTTAACTACTGTCACACGTGAAAGATTTCCCTGCAAAATAAGAAAGAACCAACCAGCTGCAGCATGCTGTCAGCAAGCCAAAATTAGAAAGAATTCCTGCAGACTTCATCGTGTTATGGCAACAAAATCAGTTTTTAAGAACTACAAATCATGGGAATTTCAGGACTTTTTCAGACTTAATGATTTATGCTGGTCATTAAGCCATCAACATAAAATCTTTTCATCTTGCAATAATACTGTAAATACTTGTTTTCTCTCAACCCACTTCGTGTAGGAGAAGATCAAATATATCCCCATGTGTTTCAGATGCACAGGCCTTTCTCCAAATCGCATTAACATTAAATATTAAGACTCCTTAGTTGCATCAAATTTCCTTTAAAACAGTAGAACGTCTTTTTGTCATGTTTTCTGGAGTCTTTTGACTCCTGTTGATCCATAACAGACACGCTTATTTTAAGGGGACATAAATTCTGTAAAGCTGAGGTCTTGTGGAAGGGTGAGGAGAAATGTATTAGAGACAACAAAGATCAAGTAGCATCTATGAACACACCACATTGTGTGCGTCGTGACAGCATTCGTCCTCAAAGGTACATCAGTGGTCTCTAACAAGCTCTTAATTCCATTAAAGAAGGAGTCCTGAGAAAAGGAGAGAAAAATACGCAATTCTGCTACATCCTGAATGATTTCCGTGGAAGTACCAGAGCAACGAGAACGGTGCACTCTCTTTGGTGGGACATAGTGTGAGTTCTGCAGTAAAAAATTGGACTGGTTTTATAGAAACATTTTATAGGGTTGCAAGGAACACCAGTTGTTTTGCTTGTAAACTCATGACTCCTTGTCCCTCGATGTGCTGGTTTTGACTGGACGAATTTTCCTCAGTAAGGTAGTGCTTTACATCAGTTATTCTGAGACTGGGCCAGCATGATTAGCATTCGCTGTACACAGGAAAGAGCTAGGATAGCTTCTACATTCATTCTGCTTTTCTCCGCACTCCATACACTATTCCTTCCGCTCAGCAGTCATTCCCCTGGATACCAGTCGCTCCTGATTAACAGAGGAGAATTTCCCCGAACCACGCTTGCATGCAGTACGTTTCCCACGAAACCCTCCCACATGCCTTGCAGCCAAACGAAATTAAAACATTAAAACTTACCAACAGGGAAAGCTAAAATTGATACTGCCTTCAGTGTGTTACTTTCTCAGTGATGTGGCCAGATGATAAGAGGCCACTAACCTAACAAGTAGCTTGTGTTCCTTATAGAAAGGAACAACTTGGTTAATAACTTGGAAAACTCAAGACAGTGTCAACTCTCAAGAAGTTCAAGGGAGATCAGACGAAAAACACGAGCACTCTTCTAACTCCGAGCTGTGCAGTCTCTGTGGGTCTTACCCATGTAAAAATGCTGCCAGGGCTGAGAAAATTTTTGCTGCAATACATTATTAACATATAATGTCTGTGCATTTTGCCACTGCATCCAGAGGAGGGTAATTCGGTTGTTACTTTAATGTAGAGAATATGCTGACCTGTCTTTCTTTCCAGCTGTGAAATCAATGGGCAGGTAAGATAATGTTAAACCACTGGGGTCTTTTGGACCACCCATTGGAACAGTAAGTGTCATCTTTTCTTTTCCTTTCTTTTTTTTTCTTCCCCAGAATGAGGTGGCAATGCTTCTCAAGCCCATATCAGAGAAGATTCAGGAAATCCAGACCTTCCGAGAAAGGAACAGAGGAAGTGAAATGTTCAACCACCTGTCGGCTGTCAGTGAAAGCATACCTGCCCTCGGCTGGATCGCAGTGGTGAGCGACCCACAGGATGGCTGGGGGGGCTGCACACACAGTTCTGGGTGGTGGAGTCCAGAACAGTTCCAAATCTTGCAGAACTCTGCAGTCTCATCGGCACTCTTCAGTTTACTACACCCAGGAGTGTGGTTTGTAATACACCCAATACACCAGGGAGGGTGTCTGACTAATGTTTTACTTCCTTTCTCCTCCTCTTTCCCGCTACTGTGAACTGATGGTCCCAGTCTCCTAAACCAGGCCCTTATGTCAAGGAGATGAATGATGCTGCTACCTTTTATACTAACCGGGTGTTAAAGGACTACAAGCACAGGTACGTTGCCCAGCCTCGGTACCTCCTAGCCAGAGAGCACTAACCGTACCAGTAGGGTTCACGCTGCCATCACAGAAAACGTTCTGTAAGCTAAACAGCGTTTGCTGCAGTCTGCCTGCGGCAGTACCTTTTCCCATTCTCATCTCTGACCTGCTGCACGTTGCAGTGCCAGTGGCAGCGGCACGAGCAGTGCTCGTTTTCACTCTCTGCACATTATACAAATTACAGGATTAGGTGTAATTTTCTGGCATCCCAGCATCATAAGCTTATGCACAAGTATGTATTCACACGTCAGCGTGTGGCTGGCTGGCTGCTGCGCATCTCTCTCTCATTTGTGCCCTCACAGCGTTGCTATTCTTGCTCTGCGTTTGAAAATGTGCATTTAGGTGGCAGATGCCTACAAATGAGCATCTGATTTCGTAGCTCCCAATTTGAGTTTTTTCTGTACCACTGCCTTGTTCTTAAGGAGCACAAGGAATTCACAAAAAAGTTCCACAAATGATCTCTGTGAGCTGACAGAGAAAGAGAAAAAATGTAAGTCCTTCCTATGCCCTCTTTAAAAAGTTATGTATAAATCCTATTGATTTGGTACTTTTGGAGGCCAGATTTTGGCTTTTGGATTTTATATCCCAGTGAAGAACAGTATTTGCTAGTCAATTTTTCTTCTTCAGTGAGGAAAACTTTATATATA